GTTGGACTAGGTAAAGGAGAAAAAAATGCCAGACCAAGGTTAGACATACAGTATCATCAGTCTTTAATAACTTATAAATGCTAAAAAATAGTTAATACAGAGGACACACATAGCTTACAAAATGGCAGTGGATCTACAAATGTGGGGAGAGGTTCTTGGCACTTTCACACAGACACTGGCATCGCTAGGAAAGCAGCCTGGGGGGACTCCCCCGTTGGGAGATGGGGAGACAGTACCCCATACCAAATGCATCCTCCAAGTAACTTTCCTTTGCCCTAAAACACATCTAATAAAAAAGCCAGAGAAAAACAAGAAACAAGGTTGAGGTAGATTTGCAGTTTATACTGAAGCCTCCTCAGTTCTGCAGCCCCATGTCTAGAGGTGAGGATAGGGGAGGTGTGAGTAGACAACCCATCTCACATCCCCCTCCCCAGTACCACACCAAAGCAGGACACCCGGTGTGGGCGCCTCAGTCCTTCATTTAGGTGGGCAGGTCCTGCACCCTGGGGCTGAGTGAGGGGCCACAGGCTCTGCCTGGCTGTCCAAGTATAAAGACCCCTACTGGTGAGGAGGGGGCGGCCTGGGATCACCGTCTCTTCTTGCTTCCCCGGGCAGCTTTTTTCCTCTTGAGGATCATCTCATACAGGCGTTCAAGGCCGGGCTGCAGACCCACCCCGTCCACAGCGCTGCAGGCCTGCACGTGGGTGAGCGTGGCAGCAGCCAGCTCTCGGACTGCCAGCCTCTTCTCCACCTCAGCAGAGCTCAGAGCCCCGGGCTGGTCCTGCTTGTTGGCCAGCACCAACACAGGCACACCCTGGTTGTCAGAGGCCCGGCTGATGCGGTGCAGCTCCACCTTAGCCTCCTCCAGCCGCTCAGCCTCCGCAGCGTCTACCACAAACACCAGCCCGTCAGTCCTGCGGGTGTAGGAGCGCCACAGTGGTCGCAGCTTCTCCTGCCCACCCACATCCCACACTTGGAAGGTGATGCTGCGCGACCCTCCCAGGGCCACCCGGATCTTCTCCATGTTGAAGCCTTTGGTGGGGACGCTCTGGACAAACTCCTTGAACTTGAGTCGGTAAAGGAGGGAGGTCTTTCCAGCTGAGTCCAGCCCGATGACCACCACGTGCAGGGCCTGGAAATGGGGCAAGAAGGAGGGGGTGGGCGCCATCTCTGTCAAGTGGTTCCCCATCGTGAGCTCCAGCGAAGATGTGGGTGTTGGGGCTCACAGTAGAGGCGCAAAGGTGGCCTTGCAATCGCAGGCTCCGGAGACCACAGCTGGGTTATCTAAACAAGGAAAGGTCATGAGAGAAAACAGGAGAAGAGGTTTAACGAACATGTGATGTGCAACTTCTTGATCTTTTCCTGAGTCAGCTTCCTTGTTAAAATTCCTTTTTTTTTTCTTTTCTTAAGCAGCTGCAGGTGTAACAAAGCCGCTCCCCTCTCCCTGGGGCGCTAACGAGGGCGATGAGACCTAGATAATCCCCCGGTCCCGGGACACTGAAGTGGGGGGTGAGGCCCGGATCCAGCGCCTCTTCTTCCGCTAGTGGTGCCCTAACAGACGCCGCAACCCCTACTCCCCAGGCGATAATCCTCGCGGGAAGGGGCAGGTCGGACAGCGCCCCCAAATTAAGAGTTAGGGTGCGGGCGCTGAGACGGGAGATGGAGGCCCGCTCCCACCCACCCTCCACGTCCCCAGGCGGCTGACAGCGACCCCTCCTTACACGGAGACCCCTTCCCCCACGCCCCGCGACGCTCCGGGGCCAGCCTTCCTCTGATCGCGGACTCCAGCTCC